GGATATGTAGTTTTTCCACAAAGCGTCGTTTTTATGCTACCACCTTTTACTTTTTATATTTTGCAGTCTAACATAAGCAGTTCTCCAATTTAATTCTCTATTTCCATAGTGACTTTTATTGAGTAGACATAACTGTTTATGGGTGCGAAGAATTTCTTAACATCGTTCTTTTTATTATTACTAACTTGTCGTTTACTTGTCTGCACCATCGTTTTATTGATGATCTGAATGGTTTAGGTGCATTCTCTTCCAGAAAATCCATGAATATATCAGCTATTATCGGTGAGATGGGTGATCCTATGGCTACTCCTTCATTTCGTTGGTATATTTTTCCTTCACATGTAAAATATGTTGTTAGATAGAATTCAGCCCCTTTTATTATCTCTTCTATGGATAATTGTGTCCTATCTTTTAGACTCTCATCTTGTTTTAGTCTCGTTTTCAGTGCATTTGTGGCCATTTGAATGGGTATTTGAGTATAGACACTGTTCGCATCAAAGCTGAGTAGTATTTCCTCTTCGTCTATTTTAGTGGTTTGTAGTGGTCTTACTAATTCAAATGAATATACTATTCTAGCTTTTGAGTTCTCTTGTCGGTCTTAGTATTGCTGAGAGAAATCTTGATAGCATATACGTTGGTGTGTTTCTAAAATCTACGATCGGTCTTATTGGATCTCCTTCTTTATGCACTTTTACCTTGCCATATATTCCTAGGCATATTACATGATTTTGGCATAATTTCAAACCATTTTGACTTGCCACTTACTTCTTTCATCTGTCTAACTACCTTTGCTGCTTTTTTCATTTTGTTTGTTATTGTTTCTGACAATTCGCTCATTAGGGTATAGTGTCCAGATTGTAAATTTTCATTCATCTTTTCACTATGTGTTGTCTGGTTTAGTATCACTGTTGTATTTCCTTTGTCTGCTTGAGTAATGACAATGGATTTGTCTGCTTTTATGTCTTGAAGTGCCTTTAGCTCCTGCCTCGTTACATTTGGTTTTTCCACTTTTTGTTTTTTTAAAGTTAATGCACATTGTGCCCGTACCAGTCCCACTTTTTGCCTGCCATGTCCTTCTAGCGCTGTTTCAATCGCAGGTATCTGCAGGTCTTAATCTTTTGTTACTAATACTGAAGTTCATCCCATTCATCAGTACGCTTTCCTATGCTTCTGTTAGCTTTCTGTCTGACATGTTTACAGTCCAATTGGTTTCAGTTACTTGTATGTTATTCGTGCTTTTTGCGATCATGAGTTTATTAAATTTTTTTAATTTAATGCTTTTCGTTTAGGTGCAACTTTTAGTATGTTTTCATACTTCCCCCTATTAATTGCTCCTTTCAACTTTTTCTTTTGCTTCATTAATATCTTTCCTTATTGTAAATAACTTTCGTATAATACCGTGTAGGTTTTCCTTGACGCATATTTTTGAGGCATGTTTGAGAGCTGCATTTGCTTTATCGATGGATATAATTGATTTTAATCTCATCTGCATAGGAATAATTCCATTTTTCTTACTGACATTATTACAGAATTATTGTAATACTGAGAAGTTCCCTGTCAAAGAAATATCAGTAAAACAAATAATTGTTCTTTAAAGCACATAACCACCAAAACTTCATATAAGGGTTGAGTAGATCAAGCTGTAAAACTTCGGAAAAGCCTACATAAAAGTAGAGGAAGGAAATGAAGTACAACTATAATGAGCAACGATGTAAGGCGGATAGAACACTGATGAGGATTCTCAGGATATGAAATATCGTAACGGGTGGATATATCTGTGCCATTTCAAATGATTTTCATAAATGGCACCAAAATTCTCAAACTAATCATTCTTAGCATCTCAGCAACTCTGGTCACAGTCTTCACCACCCTACATAGCTCACAGTAACAGTCAACCTTCATGGACTGATGTCATGTTCCCGTTTGACCGCCACCAATTCTTTTCCAACCTACTGTTATATCAGCTAACATTGCTCATTGAAGAAGGTGTAACAAATTTTCTATCCTTCTCAGTCAATGCAGCTTAACAACTTCATAGATTGCTTTCCCCTGCTAACCAGATACTGCATGCCTAACCTCGTTATTATTGATTTCGTTGCGCCACCTAGAGTTGAAGTGTTTAAGGCTGAAAATTATGGTCGATAATGCATAATATTTTCATATCTGCCTTTTTTCAGTAGCTATGTATTACGAGCGTAAAGTAGGATAGAATGAAATGCTGCAAAGCACAGATGTCCTTTGATGGATATCCGAATATTATGTCTGCGCCAAGATGACGCAAGTTGGCACATGCCATAAGATCTGAGACTTCGTTAGCAGTCAGTCCATTACTGATGACATAATTTTACAAATGAATGAAGTGGTCGACAAATGTGGCCATTTCACCTTCATCCTTAATCAAATTAATAGTCAGTACAGACCAGTCATGCAGCATCATCTTACATCTGACAGAGGGGCACTGCATGCCAAACATACTAAAATTTCTGTTGAAGATATTTCAAGGGTGATACATTTTACCAGTGACCTCATCCAGGAAGACTACCTTATCTGGATACTCCAGGTAGATGAAACATTTCCCTGGCAACATTTCATTTCCTGAAACATCAGAGTTGGTGAGTCTCACGTCCATTATTTCATCAATAATGAAGTAAATCAGACATTTGAAAGGAACAACAGTGATTGTTGTTATATCTGATAGAAACTTTCCATGAGTAATTACACAGAAACAAGAGCTCGAGCACAATACTTTGATTAATATGACACTTTTCCCGAACTTGTTTTTTATCCAGAAAGCCGCTTTCCAGTCAAGAAATGTCTCAAATATTGAATGTCTGCAAATATTTCTACATTCCAGAATCTGCCAGAAAGTAGATATAGGGCCAGTACATTCTCCTTCGATTCCGACGCCCATCTCTTTTGTTTGTTTTGTTTCTTAAGGTTTGTTTCTCTCTAGTCAGACTTAGTCTACGTATGACTGTGGAACAAAAACCCTTCGACAATATGATGGAAAAGCTGATTCATCTATGAATCTCACAGGAACATTTATTTCCTTTCTTCAAAACTTGCACTTTCACCGATCTACACCAACACGTTAGAACTATCTCAAATTCACATACTCTCGACAATACGTTGATTAACCTAGTCAGTAATTCATCGTAACCAACTTCAAGCTCATTTGGAGTTATACCAGAGGTTGAAAGCTCTAATATGGAGTTGAAAAACTGGTTTCAAAATACTGCAGGTGGTGCTCATATCACTACATTCTCCAGTAGGAGTTAAACAGTTCAGAAAAAACAAATCATCTGTCTGGTAAATGATATAGGCAGTGTGAAGAAAACGAAAGATGGTAGGTGAGGAGCAGGTGAACTTTCTGTGTTCGTACTTGTCAGCAGTGGCTACTTCTGGCTACCCACACCTTGGAAGTTGGTATCTTCTTAGATTATATAAAATAATAAGTCGAAATGTATAATTTTTGGTATTGACGTCTTCTAATCTCTACCCCAAAGAGGCGGAAGATAGCACAAGTGGTTTGCTGGTCATCCTAGGGAAACACCTCACTGCCGTTGTATCCCCATCTACCACCAGTAAGACTGCGCTCTAAAATCCACAAAATAAGGCACGCAACACATACTATAATGGTAACTGCTTCTAGTCTAACCGACCTTCCTGACACAATGGGAAATGCAGTAAAACTCGTTCCAGCCACAAGAGGATGTTGGGTCATGGCAATGTACAAAACAAACCATCGCATCGAGATAAAAGCTAACGGTCGAGTTTCAGCATATATATATATATATATATGGGCATCCAGTATTTGTCATATATCTTGACGGGAATGCGACGCTTGATGCTCGAGAAGTGTTATAATAATAGTTCACTGGGTGAAATGCCGAGAAAGTATATTGCGCCAATCAAGACACTGCTTGAGTTTATGTAGTACTACTGGAATTTGTGAAATGTTGTCATCTGAAGTAATGATATTCATTGATATTTACTGAGAATGTAAAATGTTGCTATTCTTAGTTAACTCGTATTTACCTTTGTTTGATTTGAACGTCTCAGGAATCAAACTGATACCAGGAAAGGATAATGTTAATTTGGAAAATACAAACAAAAGTGTGCAAATGTACAGGGTCTACAGAACGCCCTGAGAGGATATGTGGGTATATTTAGCAAGGAAGAAATAAAAGCATTACAAATTTTTTGACCATATCTGTTTTCGTTTCATCGCTTACTTTAGGTGGACATAACAAATTAAGTAATAATGAAGTTAGACACGGTGTGCTATATAAAAAGAAGCGTCAGTTGATTAAATTATCAGTCGTCATCGAATGAGATATGATCAAGGCATATGTTACGCATGCCGAGCCATCTGCTTCATCGATGAGTCAAGGCAATTAAAAGGACTAAATTATAAAAGAGTTAGGGGTAACCAGATCAAAACCCGATACAGTTTCATTAAGTTACTGACTATTAATCTCAGCGATATAGAGGACTGTAGATTAGATAATCCTAGCTGAAGTCGTTGGAATGCTTGCATTCAGTTGGTGACATGGCTGGAAATCGTTTGCAATGCAGAAAATGTACTCACTCCTTGCCATGAAAAAACCTGAAAATGTTCACCATTCTTCATCAATTTTTCTTTCTTTCTGGTTCATTTTAGTATCATTATATTTCAATCTTCTTCCTTTTTGTTCTCTTCGGAGCATCATATCTCAAACTGATGGAAATCTGTGGAAAAAATCCCACTTTTGTTTTCATTGATTTTGGTTTTAATATTATTTTGAGATAAAATTTGTCTTGAAGTGAATTAAATCACAAGGTAATCGCCAAGTTCTTAGGTACATAACATTACTTAAATACAAATATGGCATTAGTGTTAATTAATTTCTTTTTAATCGTATTTCTGACAGTTCTGTTTTCGTTTAGTTTGAATCTCAACAGTTCTCATGATTTTATGGTATTAAATATATAGTTTTCAGATTCATGCAGTCAGATGTGTTTCACATGGAGTATCAAGGTCATAATGGCATCTAAATATCCTCATTTAATGCCATTAACTCTACGCTTTCACACATTAGTTATTGGTATTGACAAAGTGGAAAATACTGATTATAACCGTTGATATCTTTTTCTATAATTATGTCTATAAATACTTAAGAAAAATAATTATATACTGCGAAGAATGTGTTTAGGTGAAATATTACATATGGTAAGAACAGCATGAATTCCTTCCGTATCATTCTGTAGGAAACCACTGAAAGGCGAAATCTAAGGAGTCTACTTGTCTAGAAGAGTTAATTGGTCGATAAAGTTTAAAATCTCACATGGTTTTCATATAACAATTAACTGCATGAAGCAAACTCTGTTTTGTCAAAGAGTATATATACTGAATAGCGGTTTGTGTCGTCTTACTCTACGGCCTTGAAGATATGAAAACATAGGTCATTTCACTATGGATGCCTTTAACCAATTTTTGTCTTTTGGGTGGGACGAATGATACGCCACATATAATAAATTCCGGATAAGGGAACCAGCTCAAAAAGACTGTCGATAATAGTGTGAAAACATGTGCCTTCGAATATCTGTGTTACACCCGGGACCAAAGAAATTAATAATAAATACCTAAATCTATATAATTTGATTACAAACATTTCAGTTTTGGACCCGTCATTGACTATTTTTACCGAATATTCTGTTGTTTTGTCAATTATTATGAAAATTATAATTTTTCAGTAAATTTCTGTGTAATTACGTAAACAGTTTTCAGCAGAAGTCAGCTTAAACAGCTGTCATATTTTTGTGAGGCTGCAAAACTTAACTGCTATTATAAAACCACTTAATATGGTCAGTGGATTTACTTCGTTTTAACGGTATTTGTCGAGAACCACCGAAATTTATTAGAACATATAGCATTCTTGCCAGAAGCAATGACTCGTATAGATCACAGTCTGTCAGTTTGCTTTTGGTGAGTAAATTAATCATGTGAAGATTTGCCTATATGATGAATATTTATTCCTGAAGGGTTAGTTAAGCCATCTGGTTACCAGTGTTTTTATGATAAAAATGAGTGGTTTTTGTAGAAACTGAAACTTCTGCAGTTATTATATGCAGCGTGCATCATTACAATCATCGTTAATGGTTAAAAAATGAAGTTGAAGACTTGGTTAAATCCGTATCCGTTAAACAAGCGTGTATCGCGGTATATCCATTTAAAAAGTAGTATAAACAAATATATACACAGCCGAATTGTGAATGTGTAATGGATCATTTGCATCACCTTGGCTAATGAGAGAAAAACTAATTATCTTTTAAATTAATTGATTATTTTCTTAAATTGATACTATGATACTGAATACTTTTCATGGATGTGAAAAGGTAGAAGATGAAACAAATTTTCAAGCAAAACAGCTAACATCTCATTATTAAAATAAAGTTAACTCTCTTCTTTTTAGCACAGTAAATACAGTATATGAATATTAATAAATTTCTGTGTAAATTTGTACCAAAATCATTGCATGTTTTTGCTAGTTGTTATTAGATTCATACATTGTTTACATTTGTATTATGTCATTCACAATCTGTAATCAGTGGCATATTAAAATGATAAAGATGTTGACTACTTTGTTTTGTTAATTGATTTAGTTCTTCACTTGAAAGAATATGCTTACGACGTTTTTGTTCACAAGATTTTGTAGAACGTGATGTTGGTGAAAACGATAATGAGCATAGTGTTGATTTGGACTTTTCTCTTTCGATTTTAGACGGTGAAAGTTTATTCGACTGAGTGCTTTTAATTGAATCAACTCCCTCATTTTCCGGTGATTTTGCCCCTCTAAAACACATTTTCTTCCTTAAAATAAATCCTTTGAAAAAATTATTGCAAGAACTAACTGCTATTAATAAATAAATAGAATTTTATAATAACTGCGATCAATGAGACTATTCAAACCGGACTATATACGACTAAATAGAAATTATAGATTTTTAATTGCCACTGAAGGTCATTACATGCACATATTTTGGGTTCAACAGTTAAAATAGTAAGTTATTTAGTAGATTTTTTAAGGTTTTTTATGGAATTATGATTTTTTTTGTCAACAGTCGATAACTTAACGAAATTACAATCAATACATTGTGTATTATAAACAGGTTTATTCAGAACAAGTATCATAATAGCAAACGGCTTGTTGAAATCATCACTTAGATTTCCCGTCAACTGATTTTCTTGGACGGAAATGCTCAGTCTCCTTTAACATATCAACACCTAGTATGGATTGTCTTATGATGCCTTAAGATGATTCAATCAATGGTGAAAAGGTATTTAGAGTAAATTTCCTTCAGGCTTTACGGCTGTAAATCCATTAATGTTAACATAAAAAAGCCAACAAAGGGTAAAATAAAATTCTCAAAAACTGTATTGCTGTACAAGTATAAGACAGATAAATAGTCAGTTATTTTGGATTTTCATCTTGATTTCAACACAGGATAAATTAATTGGGTGGACAAATTTCTTCTGGATATATACATTAGGTTTTCCGGCGTTGATTGCTACCACTTCGGCTATTGCTGCGCGCACAGTGAAGCTCCATTTGACAGTTTATGGGTTTTCTTATACTAATGAATTACATTTATTCTCTTTAATAACTAGTAAGTTACATATATAAGGAATATAAAATTAAGTGATTTTTGAGAACTGGAAGAAATAACAATATTTATACAGATTAGAAATGGAAACTATTTTACTTCCACAAGTTGTACTTGTGTATTTTGGTTATACATAACCCCTCCGAAACTCCTTTTTGTTTTCGAGGAAATGTTTTGTGGATTTACTGTTCGTGATAAGCATAATACATTACTCAAAAATTGAGTTGAAATGCAGTTTTCTAGTGAAATTAAAATGTTAACACTGTCATTGTTATATCGTAAAAGTGTGTCGACGAAATGACAATGCAGTTAAACCTTTTGAGTAGTTTAGAATCTTTCACACAAATCAGTGGTACCTGTTTGTAACTTTTGAGACAGTTTGAATTGTCCAGCTGTTGTAATTATTTTGTAATCGTAGTTTTAGTATTTCCAGATGACCGAATTACAAGAATCCAACCAAAACACAGAGAGGGCGGAATTCAAGAATATGTATTTAGCGGAATTATATTGCAATTCATATAAGAAATATTAACAATCAACAGTAAGTATTTAAACAATACAGAGATAGAAACAGTCAATCACCACACCAGCTGTTACATTTAGACTAATCCAGGTGAGTCATTGAGGAGGGGAATGTACCACTTTTAGCAGTTACCATCAAATGCAGAAATGATGAAGAAGTTGTCTCTTTCACTTAATTCGCAGCATTTCTTCAACTAAAGGAGAGTGGGAAGGATTAGGGTGTCAAAGACATCCAAGACCGCGAAAGCGAGACAGATATTTATTACCGCGAATTTGATGCAGAGTTCTAAAACACTTAACACATAGAGTAATATGCAGATTTGTAAAAATTGTCAAGTCAGTGCTTCTGTGTGGTTCATATGCGTGGAATTTAACCTAAAGCATTTCCGACAGCCTGTAGATTTTCACCAAAAGCTTCTTTGGCTAAATATTGCAGATGAGATAAAAGAGATAAGTAGCAGGGGACTCTATCAGCAGCCTTGGAACTATGACCAAGAACATATTGTCTAGAAAATATACAGAAAGCATTGGACATAGAAAAGGAATCTGAACTAAGCATTCCTTTCTTGATGTGTGCCTTAGTAGACGCAATGAGGGATCTCTCAGAAGATCCATCTACCCCAAACGTATGTGGAATGGACAACTAACCAACGTTTATAGTTGGTTGCCTATGTGCAGGAAAAGGAACCTAATTCATTTACCCTGCATTGAGGACTAGAAACATTTGTAGTTCTGATTGCGTTGAGCCAGAACCTGCCATCTTAAAAGCCACACTTGCAGAAATGGGTTACGCGAACCGATTTATTAACAGAAACCCAAAATGTAAGCCGTCCAAACTGGTCACCGACTCAGTTGCAAAGAAAACCTTATTCATGAACTTGGAATCCAGAGGTGATCAAGCTTCAGATAAGCTCAAAAACCGTCTCTCTGGATCAGTCAGTAAGACGTTCTTCGCTGCAAAATTACAGATGACGTTTACCAGCTGCAAGTTGTTCTCCATCTCTGTAAAAGATAAGCTCCCTCTTCTGACTGCCTCCATGTGCATCTATCAGTTCACCTGCTCTTATGGAGCAAGGTACATTGGCCGTAGCCACAGAGCGTTTTCTACACGGATGCGAGAACATATTCCAGTATGGTTTTACAAGGGAGAAAGAAAATGTGTGCGAAGCTCTATTCTAGAACATTTGATCGACTCCTGTCACTCTATCAACCGTGATCATGATTTTAAAATCATCTACGGAATCCGTGCTAGCTTGCCACGTTCTCTTCGTTACAGACTTCGAAAGACAGCGGAGGCTTTGGTCATTCATGAATTTAAGTCAGACCTTTCTGTACAAAATAAGTATGTACAATCCTCACTTCTCCCTTGACCGTAGAGGGATCAACATTTATTTATTTAGTTAATCTATGTACCAACAATATGACCGTACATTAGACTATAAAGGAGATTAAGTTTGGTTCAGTAGATGTTCACCGGTACATGTTAATTAGTCAAAACATAATTTTTATATCTTACACTATCAAATAATGGTATGATTAGATGTAATTTTAGGTTATATTGCCTTTCGCGTAGAGAAATGAATCTTTTCCATCTTATTCAGTCTACCGTGTCTTCTCAGTGTGGGAATAACATCCAAGTAATCAGTTGTATCTTGTCGTGTGTTGAAGTAACAGAAGATATGAGTCGAAATCTCAGGTACATTTAAGCTTTATCACCGTTATAACAGAACACAAGGGAAGCACAATAATTTCTACAGATTTCTTAAACTTCTGTTGTAATTGAGAACCTAGTAGTTTTCCAAACACAGCATTTATTTTGACCCTTCAGAATAAGTAAACTGGATTCGTCAGATAAAGCGAAGCAGACAAAAGCTTCATGTTATCTAATATTATCAGTCAATTAAAACACAAATAAGGTTGTGATTGCTCAAGTAAACTGAATGTTATAGTAGCTGAGTTAGAGTTATTTAGTATTTACACACATTATTTTAAGTATTTCACTACTTGTTTGTATTTTCGTGGACATGTACATAGTTTGAATCCTGGTCTTAATTTAACCATAGATTATAAATGATCTGGCTTATAATCCAGCACAAACACACAGAGGTGCTATGTTGATCATTTTCTGAGTAGGATTCATCATGGGGATAAACTTCAGAGTGCGTTGAAAAGCCTTATACATGTTTATATTTTATTCTTTTGCTTTCCACTCATTTTGCTAGTAGTGACAATCATGACATGCGATATTGAAATTTCATCATTATTAAGAGATATCAAAAGAAATTATGAAAAATAGAATATTACTGCTGAGAATTGTGGATATTTATGACAGAAGGAGGAAAACAGTGCAGATAAAATGTGTGAAGTCTTGAATAATATGATTGTACAGTTCTTTGTTAGATATCAAAAATGGAAACATTGTGAATGACTTTTGCTTAAAACGATTCATTTTAAAATATACATAACTTCGAAATACAATCAAAATTACAGTGCTCGACGCTTTGTCTTCTCACTGGTCTATGATGTTTACTTGCTTCACAACTAACAGTGTTGTATCCTTTGGATTTTGCAGGAACCTCTCATATTCATCCAAAATCTATTCCACAACCGGCGCACAGATTTTACTAGTAGACATGACTCCAGAAGTGAACGCTTCTGTGGATTGTACTAGTAATTTGTAGTAGTGAACTTTAACTGTATAACCACGTAACCATTGATTTATATAACTCGTTAACTGTATAATATACTGTTGCATTATCATTTCGTTAATTTGGATTTTTATGCCAATATTTGTTCCCCTACAAATGTCCGTAAGACTGAATTCGTTGTTTTTTTTGATGATGTAAACAAGATAACTGAGTTCCGACTAAATAGACATTAAAGCAACATATTCTTAAATTACTATATGCTTTTGTGATGTTTTGGTGATTCACTATTTCAACTACTTTAACTTTTATACATAAGTGGAAAGCTTTAAGTTGAGCTCCAGTTGATGGCATCGGTGTGAATGAAACACCTTTTTCAAAAGGCTTCCAAGTTTACTTTTCAATGACATACCTGCATATACCAAATAGGAACCCTATGTTCAACAGGTTTGTGCTTACAAAGGCGTTATTTAGAATAATCCAGGTTATCTACAGTGAGACGATATATTACTGTTGCAACAAGTATTTTTCAGTGATATAAGAATAGAACTTGTGCATAGTGGTAGAGTTTGATTAAGTTGTGAGTAAAATGTATTTCGATAAAGTGTTACAGTGATATGCTGTGATTATGAGCAATAAATTTTGCTCGAAACGTCATCAGTAAATATTACTGTATAACACTGTGAGACTTTATCAAAATACATTTGCCCACAATGGAAGTATTTATCAGGTTGTAAAACTGTTTTTTTAAAAGTAAGGTTTCTCAGACTTTTGTAGCATTCTATAACAAAGGTATTCATATTTCCGGTACATCGCTGTCCACCTTTCAGAAAAGGAAATACTTAAAGAAAGGCAGACAATACAACGACACTTGTGTATAGTTTTAAAAGTTTACCGTTTGGTGTTCTCGCATGTCTTCTTTGATTTTGTCCAATACTTCCAGAAAATCTCGCAAAACAGACTCTGTATAACTTTAGAAGTTGTATTACATAAAGACTGAATATTTCATTGTACATAAATTCAGACCAAAGCGAATTCATTAGTGAACAGAGTGGCCACATATCTAAATATACCTCTGCGGAATATGTGTCGAAGTTTGTACGTGGACAACAGGCTCTTGAGAGTAAGAGATGGATTCTTGGTGGTAGGTTAACTGCCAGATGTGTAGTAGCATATAATATTATCACGAATGACAATGCGACAGACTATCATGTCTC